TAAGTATATTTAATACCTTTAAATAACCTATCTTCTGGTTTTTTGAGGGACTTGTGTCAAAGGAAGCAAGATGTAAGGCAGAATTTGCTCCTGTTTTTCTATCTGGATGTTGCAGTGAAGCATGATTCAGAGCAGCCCTAAATAGAGCTCCCTGCCTTTTAGATAACTTGCTATCCAAGGAATCAGGAGCTATTCTTCCAGATTTTCTGGGTCAACTTCTCTTAAGGCACCTCTTCCTGACTGTGCTCACTTAAGCAAAATAAATTCAGCTGTGTCTATTAAACAAAATATTTTCCCAGACAAAAAGGAATATTCTATATCAGCTACACAAGAAAATGTGAATTAATCAAGATGCAAAAGAAATTCAGGCTTTTACAATGATCTTCAGTTGCGTTTTTTAGCCTATTTTTTCTTCTACTCTTAAGTACATGATCAGATTGTTTCTCTAAGTCTTTGGTCTTTGGATAACTACCGTGTATCTTATGTAGAAGACAGATCTTGCAATTCTAGGTTAAAATGGTCTTTTTACTCACCTATGTGCATTTTAGCATCAGATTAGAATTCTGTCAGAAAGACCATTTTAATATAGGCTGTTCCACAGCTGGCACTGTTCTACAAGTTTCATAGTGTTAATATCTTTATGTCCATCTTCTAAAATCTCTCTCATCCCTCCTTGTTCTTACCAACTCCTTTCCTACATGCACAATTCTTCTAAAAGCTCATTATGATGTTATCTCAACCGTACCATTGTGGAAGGATTCCAATAGGAGAAACTAGATTGCCCTTGAAAGATTGTTTACTCGGGTCTTCCGTTTGTTGACTCTTCACTGAACATCGGTAGAGCACGTTTCTAGAGTTATACACAATTAGAGATTATACACAATTTAGAGATTCTATCTCTAAATCTCCAAAACAAGCAGAGTTGCCCTGTAATCCTTTACCTCACACACCCTACACACCACAGCCTCCCCGATCATCTGTATCCCATGTCAGAGTGGTACATTTGTTGCAAGTGATGAACCTACATTGACACATCCTTATTACCACAAGTCCATAGTTTACATTAGGGTTCACACTTGATGTTATACATTCTACAGGTTTTGATAAATGTAGAATGACATGTGTCCACTGTCATAGTATCATACAGAATAGTTTAACTGCCATAAAAATCCTCTGTTCTCTGTCTGTTCATCCCTCCCACTCCCCTAAACCCTGGTGACCACTGCTGCTTTTACTGTCTCCATAATTTGGCTTTTTCCAGAATCTTATATAGTTGGAATCATACAGTATGCAGCCTTTTCAGATTGGCTTCTTTCACTTACTAATACTCATTTAAGATTCCCCCATGGCTTTTCATGACTTGGAAAGTCATTTCTTTTTAGTACTGAGTATTATTTCATTGTCTAGATGTATCCCAGTTTATTTGTCCATTCACCTACTGAAGGACATCTTGATTACTTCCAAGTTTTGGCAATTATGAATAAAGTTGCTATAAACATTCATGTGCAGGTTTTTGTGTGGCTATAAGGAACTTTTGAAAATTATAAAATGTATTGATTTTTCTGTTTTACAAGTAACACATGCATTTTGTAGAAAATTAAAAAATGGAAGAAAATGCAAGGAAGTAAATATAACTCCCTATAATCTCATCACCAGAGTTATCTTGTATTAATATTTGGTATATTTCTTTCCATTGTTTTCCAGTACATTGTACACCCACACACCATACAGACACAGGTTTTAACATAATGGGAAAAAAAACCTTGGTTCTGAGGACTTGCCTGCATCATTCAATATTCTTCCAAGCATAATTTTTATTTTCTATGTAATAGTCCCTCATACGCATATTCCATAATTTATTAAATCCATTCTGAACAGTTATGCAATTTGTATTATGATGAACAGCCTTTTAAACTAAAATTTTGTCTTTACTTCTGATTATTATAACTACTGGTTCAGAAGTACAAGTAAAAATGTTTTTAAAGATCTTGATATATATTGCCAAATCACATTTAATAAAGGCTCTCCCAATTTGCATTCCCACCAGGAACATTCGAGGGGGCCAATCTGACTGCTTTTTTGAGGCTATGACTTAAGTGTTGATCTCTCCTGTCCCATTTTTTTAAGTTAACAGCTTTATTAAAATATAATTTATATACAATAACATTCATCTGTTTAAAGAATACAATTCAATGGGTTTTAGTATCCCCATCCCAGTTTTTTAGCAATATAAAATTTAAAGCCTTCAGAATCCTAGAATATGGCAGGGCCTGACAGATGTAGCAGAGGGTCACGCTGCCAGCAATACACTTGATCCTGGCGGAGCACAAAGATGTACAGCATTTGCAGTGAGTCACACAAAGGAAGAGCTCTTCCTACAAGGCTGTCTTATTTAACACCAGTCTAGAATTTTGAGTAAGTAAATATGGCCAGAAATGAATGACTCAGAAATTTTTAGAAATGAGGTGATAATCATTATTTGCAGATATAACATTACCCAGAAAAACTGATAGAATCAAAGTGAAACACAAATTTGAAACTTGTTAAAATTAATAAGAAAGCTTCGTAAGATGACAGGATGAAAACAAAT